AAGGTATGAGTTTCTCAATGGTTTTACACAATCTTTGGAAAGTGTTCGTCGGCCGTGGACTCTGGAAACTCATGGACGGAGTTGGGGGAGTTGCTTGCTCGTGGTGTTCACGCCATCTCCAACCAAATCTCTCATGTCTAGGTTGTGGATTTGTGTATAATTTTTTGTATTTTGCTCTTTATTTTGCTGTAATAATGATGATGGTTTCTCCATCTCCCGGTGTGTTCCTCTAGTTAGAGTGTGGTTTCTCCACCTCTCTCAGTCTGGGGTGTTTTCTCCCTCAGCCAACAGTTGGCTTCCCCACCGCTACTAGTCTGAGGTATGTGTGTATGTGTGAGGTCCATTACATAACTAGGATCTGGCTCACTTTGAGTCAATTATTTTTTTTTTTTTTTTACATTTTGAATTGTTTTGTTCTAAAACTTATTTATTTCTTTATTTTACTCCTTTTTTACCCTTTTTTCTTGTTTTTGTCCTGAAATTTCATATTTTGGTTCCTTTTACCCTAAATCTATTTATTTCTTTAGTTTGGTCCTTTCTTGACCTTTTTTTTATTTTTGTCCTGAAATTTTTTTTTTCGTTTGGCTTTCTCTTGCCTTAAAACTTTTTTATATCTTCTTTTTGGTCAATTTTTTACTTCTTTTTTTTTATTTTTGTCCCCAACTATTTTTTTTTTGTCCCCTTTGCCCTAAAATTTATTTAGTTTTTCATTTTAGTCATTTTCTACTTTTTTTTTTCCTGAAAGTTTATTTTTTTCGTTTTGGTTTATTTTGCCCTAAAACTTATTTTTCTTCATTTTGATCTTTTTTACTCTTCTTTTTTTTATTTTTCACTAAAACTTTAGTTTTTCCGCTTTGGTCCCTTTCACTCTAAAATTTATTTATTTCTTCATTTTAGTCATTTTTTGACTTTTTTTTTTTTGGCTTCTTGCCTAAAATTCTATTTTTTTTCACTTTTTTCCTTTTTGGGATTTTATATATTCTTAATAATAATACGGTAATTAAAATTTAACACGTGTATTACTTCTCACATGCATCACACGTAGAGTTCAATTAGTATATGTATACATATCTATTACTATTCTATAAGAGGGCTTGTGGCAGGGTTGTGTTAGCATTGCTTTGTCATTTTCTTTACTTTTGTTTAAGTCATTTTTATGTGGGCTTGTTTCAGCACTATTTATCTTACATAAAATGCCTACTTTAAAAGCTTGTGTCCAAAAATACCCGTTCATATAAAATATTAGAACAATGTCGACTTTTGAATAATAATACACATTTAATACCAGATACACCCCTATTACAAAAATAAGCATTTCTCTGAATAGGCATTCTACAAATGACCCAAAAAGTTATTGGTTGTCTTTTGGGCCAATCATGAGAATAATCTAGAAGATTAACACGAGCAATCTACTAAATTAATTACGAAATCTACTAAATTAATTGGATTGTTTGAAGGAAAAGAACACAATAAGATTATTTTCGCCCATATAAAAAAGAAAAACACCCAAAAACATCATGAACTGAAAGTCAAATATTTTTTACTACCCATATTATAATATCTTTTTCTCTATTTTCATGTCAACGAAACAACAAAATGAAGAACAAATCTTATCTTTGACCTCGCAACGTGACGATCTATAAGGTGATGGACTCCTTGTAATCAGAAGAGATGGCAATTTATCAGATTTGGCCCGTGAAGGTATGAGTTTCTCAATGGTTTTACACAATCTTTGGAAACTGTTCGTCGGCCGTGGACTCTGGAAACTCATGGACGGAGTTGGGGGAGTTGCTTGCTCATGGTGTTCACGCCATCTCCAACCAAATCTCTCATGTCTAGGTTGTGGATTTGTGTATAATTTTTTGTATTTTGCTCTTTATTTTGCTGTAATAATGATGATGGTTTCTCCATCTCCCGGTGTGTTCCTCTAGTTAGAGTGTGGTTTCTCCACCTCTCTCAGTCTGGGGTGTTTTCTCCCTCAGCCAACAGTTGGCTTCCCTTCCGCTACTAGTCTGAGATATGTGTGTATGTGTGAGGTCCATTACATAACTAGGATCTGGCTCACTTTGAGTCAATTTTCTGTGGTCAAATGTTATAGAGCCACTTTTGGAAAGTATCATTCCCGTTATTGGATTAGCGGTGTGTTTCTAATTTCTAGTCTTGTGAGTGACACATGTTCATATGGTTTTGGTGCAATCATGTATTCTAACCCTTTGGTGGCCTCTTAGGGCACGTTTGTTTGACTGTATTAGAGCACCGTATTATATAATAATACAATAATATAATATTTGGTCTGATCATCGTATTGTATAAACTAATACGAATGGTAAATTAATACGGTATATATCGTATTATTGAATACGACACATTTTTAGCGCATTGTATTGTATTATTTTATAGTAGAATAATAATTTAGGTCAGGGTTGGGCAACACTAAAAGTCGGGGTCGAGCCAACATAAGTCAGGCCGGAGCCTATAATTATTGAAAAATTTATGAGGTATGCAAAATTTTTATTTTAAAAACTTACATTTTGACCATAAAATTTTTATAAAACTATATTTTGACCTCAAAATTTTTATAAATTACACTAACCCTAAATTTTTTATAACATTTCTTTTTGACCCCAAAATTTACATTTTGACCTTTTATATAATACGTCATGACACTAAGCACTGTATTATATTATGATAATACAACACAATAGAATACACCTTATACGATACAATACAATATAAACTATTAAATTTACCCTTAATGAACTACTAAATTTGACCTTAATGAAATTGTCATATTTATCATTAAAAAAAATGAAGAACATACGACAAAGATACGAATAAAAAATGAAATATTGAATGAATTTAGAGTCCGTTTAGTTCATGGATTAAAATCATGAGATTAGAACCATTTTTTATTTACGTGAATTTTTTGTAAGAAAAAATACTGTAACGAACCATGAACTATGATTCGAATCAAAAAATAAATCATCTAACTAAACGGGCTCTTATTAATTTATCACCAACTCTAGAAACAACACGTATGTCGCGGTCCCAAGAGGCCAAAAGACCCAAACACCGAAGGCGAGATGAAATCGGGATCTCGCCAACGAAGAACATAACAGTCTTTGTCAGAGACCAAGACGAGCATAGAGTGAGGGAGCTGATTGAAGTGATCGATTGTCATGGCGTCTCTAAGTAAACTATAGAGCTCACAAATATGGAAGGGCATGGACATTGCGCCCTCAGATCCAATTAATCCAACCAGAGAGAGAGAGAGAGAGAGATGAGATGAGATCATAAGATTGACCAATGCTATTATCGGAGATCGACTGTGAAAACCAAAGATCTATGGAATCGCCAATGCCATCAACACGGTCGTCATTGCGGAGCGGGCAGGGAGGTGTTGCGTTGCCAACCGTGGGTGAGGGTGAGGGTGAGGGTGAGGGTGGGGCTACTAATATCGTCAAGGGATTGGGGTACTTGAGGTGGACAAGTGGGAGAGAAGTGGACGGAGGAGAGAGAGCGCAAAATGTTTAGCTAGAGTTCAGATTTGAGACAGTGCAATATTTAGCTAGGGTAATTTAGGGGTTATTCTTTTGGAGTGATTTTTGAGTTGAATTTGAGTTATAACTCGAGTTAAAGTTGTAACTTAAATAAAATTAAGTAAAGTTGAATAAAAATGAAACTTAAAATAACGTGAATTTGAATAAAATTGGAACTTAAATTGTCTTTTTTTGAGTTTTTTAGACAAAAAAAACATGCCCTTAGTCATTTAAACGGTGTTAATAATGAGAAAGAAAAGTTAAAATGGCGAAGTTAGAAACACATTTTTCCCAATAAACAAGTTTCTCAACAATTAACCATGTAAATACAACAATTAACCATGTAAATACAACAATTAACCAACTTTCCTCACCAAAAAAAAAAAAAAAAAAAAAAATTAACCAACACCAAAAAACAAGTACAACACTACAACGTAAGCATAAGAAAATAGGAAATAGGAGGGCTGGGCTACATTAAGAGTGCGTTTAAAATTGTTTTTAAAAACGTTTTTTACAATAAAATATAATTTACAAATTGTGCTTATTTAGTAAATGTTTAAAGAACGAAAATAAAAATAAAAAATAATTTGCGTATTTAGAATTCGTTCCAAAATGATTTTATTTTTTGTATGAAAATGAAAATAAAAACATTTTCTATTTTAGATAGAAATCATTTTTAAAAATGTGTTTGATAGTTTTATCAATATATTGTTTTCAATATAAAAAATTCATTAATGTCTCTTTCTCTCTCTCTGCTCGAGAGAGGAGAAGAACGACTAAAAGTCGTTTTTCATTTCTCTCTCATTTTACACTAAACCAAAAAATCGTTTTCATTTTTGTTTTTTGTCTTTATTGCGTCAAACGCCGTTTTAAAAACGTTTTTTATTTTTTTCTTGAAAAACGTGAAACAAAAATGAAATTAATTCCAAACACGGCCATTAAGAATAATTTTTGTGAAAAAATTAGAAAACGGTTGAAAATTGTTTTTCTTTTGTTGTTTTCATTGTCTAGTATTTATCAATAATGTTGTGTTATATTAATTAATAATTATATCCGAATACGATTTCACTTTTTTATTATACTCAAAATAATCTCTTAAAAAACTAACCAAGCACAATTTCAGAATCGGTCCCAAAATAATTCTCAAACAATCTCATTTTTACTTTTGCACTGAAAAATCGAGAAATGTCAAGAGGATTTGCTGCAGATTACTCGCAACAAAATAAGGAAATGATCATGACAAAAGAAAAAATTGTTCTAAATATATCTTTCATGATCTCATTTAACAAGATAAAGGACCTACATTCCAATGAGTTTCCTTTGTGCCACTCCGTCACAAGTTAAACGATTAGTCTTAAAGAACTGTATCACTAACAGGCAAAGATTTTGATGCAGCCAACATCAACCTCAAGCTCAACTTATGCCCAATGAACCATACAAAATCAAACCAAACCTCAAGGCTAAAGTGTTGAAGAGTTTAATATCAGTAAACAAGGATACAAAAATGGGTTTTGTTTCTACAGATCGTCTGATAGAAACACGGGCAACCAATTTGCTTGTCTTGTCAGACTGCTAAAAAATACAACCATCTGCAGCTGAGAACATGTTAAACCTTACAAATTGTCTCAATATAAGAAACTGCTTAAAGGGTAAATGAGACTTTAAAGCCTCACCAGCAAGACTGACTGCAAGTTTCTATTTGGACTAAATTTAATATTCTTCTAGAATTTCACCATCTGCAGCATCCAAGCACGTCGAATTACATTCATGATTTGACTAAATAAGAGTAATTGCTTAACACTTTCATATAGGGAAACAAATGTGGCGGCTTAAAGGAAAATTAAGTTTTAAAAGACACACCAGCAAGTGTGGTAGCCAAGTTTGCTTGAGCATCTGCTTCCTTGTTTCGGTCCTACAGACGGTACACAAGAAAATTCCAGAAAGAGAAGGTCAGTACTCAGTAGCATCAGCTAAAGTAGTAAGCTGAGGTTTACGAAGGTCCAGATTTCAAATCTAATCAATCGGGAGAAAATAAACATTAATGACCTTTCCTTTATGATAGAACAAATGTGAATAAGCTTAGACGTTTAGGAAATATGGAGTAAGATAAAAATGTTATGGTGATAAAATTTGTTGGGTTAATCTCATTTGTGGCCACTAAACTTTAGGTTCATTCCTAATTTTACTCTCGAACTTTAAAAACTCTCATTTACCCATTGAAGTTTGAATTAATCTCACTCAACCCCTTTTGTAAGAATTTCTATTAATAGCATACGGAAAAAGAGGAGGTTAAGTGTAGTGTTGTGGTGTTTTGTCGTTTTTAACAGATATTTTAACAAAAAGACCATGTGGCCGCACTACTCCATTTTTCCAGTCTATTTTTAACAGAAATTTTAATGGAGGGTGCTAAATGAGACTCTTTTACAATTTAGGGGGAAAATATAAATTTTAAAGTTCAGGTGGCAAAATGAGAATGGCACTAAAGTTCAAGTGATACTCATAAGAATAATCCAAATTTGATATACAAACCTATAAAAGAGTAGCATTGAGCATATAACATGTTAAGAATAAACTTTTACCCACCCTCAAAACGTGGTTGATCTGGAAAGAGAGAAAATTATTCTCGAGCGCCTTCACCTCTTTATACAACTTTGAAATTTTCTCATCTCTGACCTTCCATGACCCCTGAACCTGCTCCAGTCATATTTTTGTAGTCATATGATGCGATCAATAGGAAGAGAAACAGGAGGAAAAAAAAAACACAAAGGTTAACGCAATTTGAAGACTAAGACACTATACTCAAGTTTGTTTTGAGCGAACAGCACAAACAAAACATTGAACCAAATACCAATATCCCTCTTGCAGACCAGAAAGAAAAGGCCTTAAAATTCCAAACATTAAAAAAAGAAAAAAATATATATCTAATTTACTCTTATCTGGTGAAAAAAAAAATAATGATTAGGTGTAAACTGTAAACTGAAATGGAGAAAAGGTAACAGGATTTAATAAAACCTACTTTACTGTACAAATCTATGGACAACCAGAAAAGTGGCATACAAATGAAAATCAGTTAGAAGAAAGGTGAAGAGAATGCAAGAAACAAACCCAGTGGAACTACAAGAGTAAGCAATTGATCTGATATAGCGTTGAATTCCCACATGGTATGCAAAAATTAATTAAAAAAGGGGAAAAAAAGAGAAAAACAAAATAACAAACCTGCAAACAAACAAGTTTCGAGTCTCCTAGGACAGAGATCCTATTAAAGCCTTTTTTATGCGCATATCTCAACCCCAAAAGAAGGGCTCTATACTCTGCCACATTATTGGTAGTTTCACCTAAGCCTTCACACAATTTACAAATCTACAAAGAAAACAAAAGTTAGAGCCAAATAAAATAAACTAAATAAAAGATATAGAAAGCCCAAAGCGTAACGTTTACCATGCGTCCATCATCAGCTAGAAGCACAGCTCCAGCACCAGCTCTTCCAGGATTTCCTTTTGATGCCCCATCAAACATAAGAAAACAGGACTTCTACATGTAAAACATGAACACAGGGAAGGGATCGGCTATTATCAGTCTACAAGGCATTAAAAAACCGAAGACAAAAGAGGATATATGTTGAGACCTTCAAACTACAATTATGGGGTCCCACATTCTAATATGTGACCCAAAAAAATGAGAAAGATACGAGGGAAAATAGCCCCCCAGTTAACAGGTCCACATAGTTCTCTTATTAGTTAACAAAAAACAAACCACCTAATAACATACATACGGTGTTAACCAAGTGGTCTTTAAATTGAGCTGTTCCACCCCAGTCGTTGGGTTGCATGGCCATGCTCATATAGCAATCAGGGTCCATCAAGTCCCTGAATTATGGCAGAACACTCCCATTTTCTACTTCTTTTTTTTTTTTTTTTGTCTCTAGAAAAAGTAAACAAGAACACTCCCATTTTCTACTTCTTTTTTTGTTTTTTTTTGTCTCTAGAAAAAGTAAACAATAACCAACAAAAAAAAAAGCGCAGGAGAGAGCAAGAAAACACAGACTCTTATTTCTTGCTAACTAATTTGCATCCATCTGCTTTTTACTGTAATGTAATTAACCAAATAAAATCCAAAGGGCACCATGGATGCAGCTAAAACATGTAATATGGGTTCTTCATGTCAAAGATTTTGAAGTATAATCAAGTTTTGTCATCAATATTATCTTACACTGCTCAATGAAGATGAGTCCCGCACATTAGGGAGATCGGAAGTTGACGCAGAAATATAACCAATTCCTTCCTGAAAGCCGTTATGCAAACATTAATCTAAAGCAGTCAAATTTAGAGTTTCAACTCATAAGCCCAAGCCCTAATGTATGCTTAAGAAATGTAGTAGAAAACTCTAAACATGCCTAATATCATAACAACAGGATGGGCGTACAAGATATAGAATATAAATACATGACAGGACAAATGCATAGATAACGATGTTGGATCCTGAAATATTGTAATGTTAATAAATTATAATTGCAAAATTATAAATGAATGTTCTAAGCACAAAAAATAAATAAATAAATAAATAAATAAATTTTCAGAAATGCCATTGTTCTTTAATTTCTCAAAGAAGTTCCATTGATTGCAGTGATTGATTGTCTCCTTACCGCAGTTTCTAATCCAGCCACCAGCTGTGATCTCTTTTTTGACGTATCTTTGGAAGGTGTTACACCTATTGAAGATGTTGGAACCTGTGAATATATAAGTCATAATCATAATTCCACACCTCTAAGAGCCCAATCCTAAGAAAGTCCTGCTCGAAATCCATTTCAATTATCTATAGACTGCAAGAATCAGAAAGAAAATACTTTGATAGAAAAACAATGATAAAAAATAAAAATAAAAAACTTCAGTAATGTTTTTCGATTCATCTTTCGACATTCAGCAGCCAAACTAAAAATGTCCCCGCATGCAGGGCATTTCAATTATCTCTAACGCATCCGGCATGTGAAAGAAACTACAAAAGTGAAACTGAAAAACTCAGCATACCAAGATTGAGAATTGGCTGGCTCACGATTACAATGGTCACAATGGTCTTTTCGTGCCTTAAGTTTAACCCACCTTTGTCAAAATAAACAATGAATAGATGTTCATCTTAACAAAAAAAAGAAACACACTTTTCAACCTATATACAATACAATTCAGTAAAGTCGGCTAAAACCTCGTTCAATTCGTTAATATGATTTTATATAAGAGCTTTTTATTGTAAAAAAAAAAAGTTAGATGTGACTTTTTGTGAGAACTTTTAACTTAGCAAAGTTGAAATTGAAAACTCAGAATCGGTAAAATGAATAAGGCTAAGTCATCTTACTTCTTTGACTGGCAAAGCGCATTGCACAATGGGGCCAAAAAGACCCTCTTTCATATCCTCAACTCTAATGGTGTAAATTGCATCCTTAAGTCCACGAGAAGTAAGGTACTCTTGAGTCTCCTTCGGCAACCGATGCCCTTTGAACACGCTTACAGGAGGATCACATATCTAACCAAACAAACAAATCAAAACTCTTGACAAAAAAAAAAAAAAAGAAAAAAAATCATCACAAGATCCAGCATTCGGAATTAAATCAAACACCTTACCGAAGAACCAACTTGCGCTTGGCAATCATTCAGGCTTCTATAAACCCCGACGACGTCCCCTTTCCGCACAACATAGAATGCCTCCTTCTCTTTCTCCTTCTCCCTCTCCATTGCCGGTTCAGCCTTCGATTTCCGCCGCGACGGAGGCGCGCTCTCGCTGCTTTTTCCGGCTTTTCTCGAGTAAAGCCGAGAACCACCGAATCGCGTCAAAGCAGAGTTCTGCGTGAGGGCAGTAATGCGGGGTTTATAGCTGATTGTTCTGGTCCATGAATAAGAATAATAAGCTCCGTACAGACAAGTCCGAGCTCTGTAATGGCTGTTTCTAAGAATCGCTTCTATGTGAGACGAAATCTGTGACAAGCCATTCATCACACGCTTCGATTCTCCTCTAACAGCGATTCAGAGCTTTTCTTTTTCCGCTGCTAATTGTAACAAAAAATGAGAGAATCGATTTTCAAAGCTGTCAAATCTTCTGAAATCAAAGAGTTTATATGTTAAAAATAAATGCAATCAAATTAACGATGTACAAAAGTCAAACGTTCCTAATACAAAGTTGTAACTTTTTAGCGAAATTGTGCTAACCCCATTACCGAAGAAAGGCGAGGATGGGTAGTATGCGGAGAGAAGGCGTGGTCTGGGTGGTGGCGGCGCGACGGCGGCACTTAGGCGGCGTACCTGCCTGCGTTCACCGGAGGAGGACGGCGATGGGGCTGAGGGGCAGGAGAGAAAGTAAAAAGTAGTAGAAGGAGGGCAAAAAAACATGAAAATGAGTTTCCTAAAATTGCCTTGGAAGTCCTCAAGCTTTTAAGTATTTTTACAAGCAAAAAGCTCCTTGAATTATACTTTTTTTTTTTATAGCAAATGTAGTCCAAACAGTCAAGATCTCGTTGACCTATGGATAATGGACGGAATTATCATGTGCAACGCACTCTTTGTAGGTAAAATTGTAATTCTACTGATAAAATCCAAATGAGGATTTTCTTTTTTTTCTGTTATGAATTATATGCAAAGAAAATCCTAAAATGACTAAAGAGTTGTTTGGTTGGGGGATTCGTACCCCAATTTGAATTATGGTTCGTGATTTGTTATAGTATTTTCTCTCATAAAAAATACACGTAAATCGAAAATAGTTCTAATCTCATGATTCTAATGTTATGTGAATTTGGATTTATAACCAGCTAAAATGTGATGTGAATTTGGATTTATAACCAGCTAAAATTTTATATTCGGGATTTACTATTAGATTTTTCATTTTTTTCTCATTAATATGAACTTGGTAAATCCAGGATTTATCATTAGAATTTATAGTGTTCTTTTTCCCTAGTAATATCAACTTGGTAAATATGGAATTTATCAATAGATTTTTCTCTTTTTCCCTCATAATACAAATTTGGTAAATCCATAATTTACTATGTATATACAAGATTTACCAATTAGATTTTTCACTTTTTTCCTACTAATACAAACTATATATTTGGGATTTACCATTAAAATTTGTAGCGTTCTTTTCCACTACTAATACAACACATGTAAATTCAGGATTTACTTAGTATATCCAGAATTTATCATCAGATTTTTCATTTTTTTCTTAGTAATATGAATTTGGTATTTACTAAGTATATCCGGAATTTACAATTAGATTTTTCTCTTTTTCCCTACTAATACATACTTGGTAAATCTGATATTTGCCAAGTATATATGTATTTACTATTAGATTTTTCACTTTTTCCTTACTAATACGAATTTGTTAAATCCTGTAAATATGAGATTTAGTCCCTTACTAATATAAACTTGCTTAACCATAGATTTACTACGTATATTATGGATTTACCATTAGATTTTTTATTTTTTTCGTACTAATACGAACTTGGTAAAACTAGGATTTACCAAGTAATTTACTATTAGAATTTGTACATTTTCCCTTAATAATATTAACTTGATAAATCTTGAATTTACCAAGTATATTCAGAATTTACTATTAGAATTTGTACTATTATTTTTCAAGTAATTCTAACTTGATAAATCCGATATACCAAAGGAGCGGGAAAAAATAATGAGAAAATGGTAAAATTAGAAAATTAAAAATTAAAAATATGAAATGGTATATTAATTTCTATACATCGGTAAATTGACAATTTAAGGCTAGTTTAGTAGTGATTCTTGAAGCCCAAAATCAATTCTCTAACCATCCACAACCTACATTTATAAATGGTAAAAATCATAAAAAGTGATTTTTAAAGAATTTTTAAAGAATTTACAGTTAAAATTAAAAACAGACCAAAAATAACTTTAACTTTTAGATAATACGATAATCTCAATACAATTAATAAAACTTTATGTTACACTACTTTTAAAACTAACAACACTTATATAATTACAGTTATTAAATACTCAATTCATTTTTTTCAGCCCAACTAATATAATTTTTCTAAAATCTACAGGTCCTTACATCCATAAGTTTTGAATTTAAAAAAAAAAAAAAGGAAAAAGAAATTCAATTTAGGGTTATTTGGCGCATTTTCCCCGCCAGCTTTCTTCGTTTTCTCATTTCTTCCGAGAGTTCTCTTTCAGTTCTGCAAAAACCCCAGAGTAGGGTTTTACTCTTACTCTCCTTGCGATTCGATTGACTCACTTTGGCCGAAGAAGAAGAAAATGGGAAGTAGATGCACTTTGGCCGGCGTGGAAGTCCCAATCGTCGGCAGCGACTCCGTCAGATGGATTGAACTTTCCCTTCCTCCTTCTTCTTCTCCATCTGCAGCCATCGCCATTGCCGATTCCGACGCTAATCTCAGCGTTCCTAGCATCTGTTCCCCTCTCGCGGACGACTTCGCCTCCTGCTCCGCCATTGGCGATCCTCCGATTTACATTACATGGTTTCTCTCTCTCTCTCTGTTCCGTTATTTTTTTTTTATTTCTTTTTACAAAAATAATTATTATTTTTGTTATTGTTGGATGAACGAATTTTCATAATCATTGCTTGAAATTATGGCCGATCAATCTCTGTGAATGTTACTACAGGAGAATTCACAAATCACTACCCAATGCTGTGGAGCTACTTGAGCTCTGTGCCGATAAAGAATTTCCCAGAATTGGTCTGCGAATCACTTTCCCTGATGCGCTCTCTGCTTTTGCTTTTGTCTGCAAAAATGAGGTGCTTCTAATATTTTCTTCTTTTTTTTTCTTGTTTTAAAAAATTGACACAGAAGATATGAACAATTAGTTTCATTTAATTAGAAATGTCTAGACTGTAATGGTAATTATTTCTCCTTTTGTAAATGATAGTCTATTTAGTTTCCTTAATCTTTTTGAAGAAATTGGTGGCCAAGTAGAATAAGCTTGTTGAGATAGAGCTAGATTCTTGTCGAAAATAGGCGATACCCTCGAACAACCCAAGAGGCATGCCACTCCTGAATGTATTAGTCTTATTAGCTACTATTCTACTCCTATTTATAAAGGTGCCGTTTGTTTCACAGTTTGAACCACAATTCAAGCCTTTTTTTACTAACTTTTTCTTTCATATAAATTTGAATATTTGTTTAGAATCAAACGGGCTGAAAAATTATGGGGTTTTTTTGTTTTCCTTATTAGTTTTGCTTATTGTGTTACGTTTGAACACAGGTCGATGTGAATTCTAGAAATTACCCTTACCTGCTTCATGTGTTGAGTGTTTCTGGAATTGCTTACCTTTTGAGGATCAGACACACCTCAGCATACAAATCCTCCTCCGTTTTGCCGGCAGAGGAGGTGATCAGGACATTTGACATGCACAGTTATGGCCCTATAACAAGTGCATCAGCATTGCCCTCTGGATGTTTTGTAGTTGGAAGGAGTGACGGATCTGTTGGTTGTTTTCAACTCAGCATGCTCGACCTCGATGCTCCTGGTACTACATACACATGCTCTTTCTTTTTTTTCTTTTTTTTTTTTTGTTGCCTGTAGTTGTAGATTTATGACTATGCCTGCTCAATGGTGGAAGGATTTTGGCTTGAACAGCATAATATTCTTTTCTAATGTTTAATTTAATTTTGTTCATTTAGCTTCCGTGCATGAGCTTCGGGATGAGTCGGGAATAAGTCGTTTGTGGGGTCTCATGTCCAGGTAGGACAAAGTATTAGATTATCTGCCTGAATATTCAATAAGAATGATTAGTTAGAAAATCGTTTATGTAGTTTACGGCACTTTATACTCGTACACCAGTGGACACTAGACAGTGTAAAACTTTCATCTTTGTATGTGCTTTCTTTGGGGGCCTATAAGAGGTTCATTGGTACATTTGTGACTGAATATCTGGCTGTCTATTGTCTATTTGGCCTGTCCATATTAACTCTTCTTGAAAGCTATGGTTATGGTTGCTCAAAACTGATGACTATACAGTGCTTTTGACATTTAAAAGAGAATTATTAGGATAATATTGGGGAAAAAATGACTATTCTGATTTCAGCGTATCATCACTCCTACTCTGTTTTCCTAACAACCACCAAAATGTCGGGGAAAAAAAGTCTCTTATTCTTAGATTTTCAGTTGATGTTCCTGTTGATTAAGTATACTAAACATGTGATGCAGGGATAGGGTAGTAGAGGCTGTGCAAGATTTGGTGTTAGCAAAGGTTCATGGAAAAATGCTTCTATTTGTGCTGCATTCTGATGGGATTCTCCGAGTGTGGGATCTTTCATGCCGTATCAAGATCTTCAATTACAATATGAATGTTCCAAGTCCTCTTTCCCAAATTATTCTTTATTTTTGCCGCTTATGCATGCTAGTTCTATCCCGTACAAAAAGGAATTTTCATCTTCAAAGATTGCATTTTGTGTTTATCTTTAATTTTTTATTATTATTATTATTATTATTATTATTATTATTATTATTATTATTATTTTCTGGGAGTCAGGGTTTTAATTGATTTCTTATGCATGGATAACCTTGTCTAACTATCAAAATATCTTATTATGTTTCGTAATGAATCACCATGTGGATGTTTGTACTTCAGCAATATGAGTGGTCCTTACCTAATCCAGTAAAATACCAGTTTGAATTGGAAATTTGACTTGGAATTTGTGACTGATGCTTCCACAATGACACAAATACCAGAAGTGCATAGGTTTTACCATATGTGACAAAGAAAAGAAAAAAGTGATAAAGACTTAAAATGAATAAGGTTTCAACAATCTAGTTTCCTTTTTGCGTTGTGCGTCTCAATTGGAAATAAGGTGCTTTGATATTATTCTATCTTCTTATAAGAAAAAAGTGATAAAGACTTAAAATGAATAAGGTTTCAACAATCTAGTTCCTTTTTGCGTTGTGCGTCTCAATTGGAAATAAGGTGCTTTGATATTATTCTATCTTCTTATAAAAAAAAATGTCATTCTGTCTTGACCATATCATTGCAACTCGTCATTCCATTTTCAGTTGTTCCCTAGAAACCTTCAGCAGTTGAGGAATCATTAATTTGCTTGGGGTAGTCTGTTGCTTTTTGGTGACAGATAAGTTGGAACAAGTGTTGGGTAAAAAAAAAAAAAAGAAAAAGGCTTCCAAATGTGCTGATATGGCGTTGATATGGTGCTGCGTATGCAAAGATTTCGGCTGAGTTTGAGTACCCTTTCTAATGTGCTGATATGTTTATCTCTCTAGTTTCAACAAGGAGGGTGGGAAGATTTTGAACACTGTTATACTGGGTTTGTGTTGGGCAATATGCTTAGATTTTAGAAAGGAATAAGAATTAGAAGGGTTGTGTCAGTGAAGTTTGGGATAAAGTGAAATTCTGTACTGCACTTTGGTTGTGTGAAGATAATGATTTTAGCCATTTGCAATTTTCTGATCCGGTTAGGTATTGGCAATTTTTGATGTAGTTCATTCATCTTTTATGATTGTTCTATCTACATTTTTTTTGCTTTTGTTTTTATTTTGGTGACATCCTGACCTCGCTTCATTCTTCATTACTATGTTTGTTTTAATGAAGTTCTGTTTCTTTCAAAAGAGAAAAAGGCTTCAAATTAAATGTATGTTGTATTGAAATTTATAGTTTAACCACCTCATCTTCCTCTCTCTCTCTCCCTTTTCCTCTTTCTACTCTGATTTGGTATCTTCTATATGCATCTAGCTCATGAGGCTCAAATATTTTTGAAAATTGAAGTCTGACCGCCTAATCTTCCTAGTTGCACCTTAATTATGCATCTACATCCTAGGAATCAAGTCACTTATTACATGCTTGTTGTCAGAATGTGTTGAAATAGTATCATATTTCTATATTTGAAGCTAAAGAATGCACTTAAATGCTCACAAGTGTGTTCTATTTTGTACATACAGGAGCTGCATTAGTAAGGATATGGGTTGGTGAAGCTGATAATGACTCAACTGTTTTGCCATTGGCAATCTTGTCTAGACATATCTCAGTATGGCTTCTTTGACAAATTTATCTTTCCGTTTGTTTATTTTATTTGTAGATGCTGGGATTCTGTTAAGAGAGAGGAGGAGATATTTATCATTCATATCTTTTACACCATGTTCAAGAATTCTGTTAATAGAGAGATGGGGGGTTTATTCGTATTTGCTAGAATCCTTTTGTGTGTGAAAGAGAGGGGAAGAATTACACAAGAAGCTAAATAATAATAATAATAATAAGTAAATAAATAAATAATAATAATAAAGTTAGTCACTGGGTATAAACTATTGAGAAAAAGTCTTGGTCTTGTATATTGAAACAGAGTCAAAAGTTGTTCCAACTTTAAACATCCCATGATTTCCTCTTAGCAAGCTTGAACATCTCTTTTATGCGTCCAAATGGTTTACACTTGTTGAACATTATGTCTTCATGAATTCATTCAATCTTACATCTAAAACATTAGACAAGGTTGTGAAATGATTTATTGTTAATCAAAGTAGAACTTCTGCCCAGTTTTTCCGTTTTGAAGGTGAGAGCTCTTCAGGAATATGTGAGTTATTGATCTTCTGTTCGTTTAGTGTATTTGGACCAATTCGTCCAGTCCAATTGAAGCCCACAACCCAAATTAGCGTTTGATTAACAGGGGAAGGTTCATGTTTGCATGGTTACTGTTGCGTAAGATGCTGAGGGATAGGATCGTTTATTTTTTGTGTTGTAAGGCTGCTTTTAGATTAGGGAATAGTCTCCTTAAGAAGTTAAATCTAGTATGGTTGATCCAAGAAGTTTTTCTCAGCCTTTCTCTTTAAGGTTTTCATTGGTAGAAAATAAATAATACAAATTGGAACTCTAGCCGTTTTGGTTTGAACAACACCAGAGGTTATACTTTAGCATGCCAAAGCATGGACTGTTGAGTTCTCTATTATATTTAATGGCACCAACCTTAGATCATGCTTGCATTTTCTCATGTGATGTTTATTTCTTTTCTTTTTGATGAATAAACGTTAATTCTTTTCCTGCCTACCTATGAAGGATCTTAGCTCGGAGCAAGTTAACTTGTACAGTCTACGCTGTAGTTTGGGGGATAGGATTGTTTTGTTGCTGGATCCATCTATGTCAACTATTCCTTTGTTAGATGTAAGTAATTTGGTTATCATCCACCCTCTGCTATTGATTTCGTTTGCTTGATGCTCTATGCGTTGCACTAAAGGGATGATTTTAACTTTGTTAAGGGAGGATGCATTGATGTCAAACTTTCTTCAGATAAGGTGTGGGTACTGAAAGAAAATGGGTTGGTTCTTCAAAGTTTGTTTCATACAGACAAAAATGTTAATGCGTAAGTTTATTCGTGCCTTGTAGTCTTCAATATACCCCGTCTTTAATCGTTCATTTTCATTACATATGATGACTTAAGCTTATTTGTTCTCCTGCTTTCTAGGGATTCAACACGCTATTACACTTTGCAGGAAGAATTTGTTGCGGATCAGCTATTTCAAAGTCCTGAATATTTGTCAGATGACCTTATATTGATGAGTCATTCAATTTTTTCATCTTCAAAGGTGCCTTTTATTTTTATAGTCTTTTTTTTTTTTTTTTTTTTTTTTTTTTTTTTTTTTTTTTTTGGTGATAAGAAACAAGAATTTTATTGAAATTTTTTAAAAAAATGAGAAAAGTACAAAGTAGGGGACGAGACGTCCACCAACAAACAGATAAGAGAAAACCAGACAAAGGTGCTTTTTATTTTAACTTTTATTGCTGACGCCCCAGTTCCTAATAGTATTATTGTCTTTAGTGTCCTCTACTTTGCAGATTAAATATTCTTGGGTTATTTGTCAATATTGTGTTGATTTTTGAATGTTCGGGTTGTTTGGAGTATGGGATTTGAATTTTTAACGTGTTGGAATTATGCAGTTTAGGTGATTGCTGGTTCATTTGGTTTTTAAGGAATAAAGGGATCGTTTGGTTCATGCGTTCAAACCAGTGATTCTTGATTTTGGCATTTAAAATTCAAATTTTTTGTGAGAGGAAAACACTGTAGCGGAATCAAAACTATGAGTTTAAACGCATGAAATAAACGGGCCCAAAAGGATTCTTTAGAAAAAAAAAAAAAAAGAAGGAATAAAAGGATTTTTGAGTTAGGGTAGGGGATGAAGAATTACCTTCGGTTAAGATTTTTGTTTGTAAGGGTTTCAAAGATATTCCTTTTTGTCTGATTTTGATGCGTTAGATAGATTGTATGTAGCTCCATTTTGTTTCTGTTCGGCGAGGACTTCCATTCTACTATTTGTATTTATCTGTTTTTCTTAAGAGAAAAATCTTTTGTTTTTGACAGTTAGCTCCTTATGACACCGAATAAAGGTCAATGTAATATGTATCAAGCTTTCGTGTCATTCAACTTACTCTTTTGTAGTTACAACTAATTAGATCTCAGTAAACAGGAAATGCCTTAGTTTCAATTTTACATGTGTTTTCCTCTCACAGTCTCATGTAAACTTTTGTTTGATTTATGGGGAATATTGAGTAATGAGTAAAATCTTAGTTCCATACGTTTTCTGACGAACTAGTAGTTCTACAAGCCATATATATATATATATATATATTAGGTTATTGTGCATATTTATTTATTTTTTTTTTCTGTTTTCGTCTTAAGATTCTTGCTAAGTTGCCATGTTGGGAGTTTTCATATGTTGAAGATATTGCTTACACATTTTGCATAATCTAAATTTTGGCAGGACCAAACTTTGTCGGCTGTATCCAACATTTTCTTACGCAGGCTGCTTCATCCTGGAGTGCATCATAATGTTGCCATGCGTGCAACTTTCCTGGACTATAACAGACACTGGACGGATTCAGAGTTCCAGTCATTAACTGCTGATGGATTGAAGAAGGAAATCCTTTCATTGATTGAACATGAGGTTTCTTTGTAGATTCTATTAGTTCTGACTCTATTATTGATTTTTCCCCGTTTGTACATTGTATTTGAATTTAGATTATTTAGATTTCAGTGAGCTGTTTTTCTTTTGGATGATAAGAAACTGAGATGATAATGATGCTGATTTACTTTGTTTGGTGCTTGTATCCAAAAGTTTTAAAGCTCTGGATTTGTACGGTGCTGTTAGTTTACTTGATAATTTGATTTGAAAGAAAATAGTTTTTGTTGGTGTGTTTGAGGAGGAGGATTTCTTTGGTAAAGAGTGAAACCGAGTCTCTTTTTGGTGAATTTCAGGGATTGCTTTTCTGTTTGGTTTTTCCTTGCTAGATTTCAGTGAGCTGATAATGACGCATGTATTTTAATGACAGGGCATGTGTGATAATTTAATATCAATATATCGCTCCTGGAAAAATTTCTATGCGCACTACTTCCAGAACTGGTGCAAGAGCAATGCACCTTGTGGTTTACTTGTCGATTCAGCTACGGGCTCTGTTGGTTTGATCAGAAAGACTTCAGCATCTCTATTTCGTGGTCCAGAGGACATTGAACGGCTTCTTGATGGTATGCCAATGATCTTTCTTTTTATCTGAATTGTTTGTATTCTTGTTTCTAGACAAGTTTTCTTTTTCTTTTCTTTTCTTTGTCTTTTTTTTTTTTTTGGTTTTTTATTTTATTGTTTTCACAATTAATCTTTTGTATATTTTCGTGTTAGGTTCTTCTTCTGATGAACTTGGTGATCTTGTTAGTTCTGGGTTGGATTCGTTTAATGACAAGCATGAATATGGGATTCTTGTTGATATGCTCAGATGCGTCATTAGTATCAGTCAACAACTGGGAAAAGCTGCTCCCGATATATTTTATGAATCCCTTGTTAGCAGACCAATTTTCCCATCTGATAATATTGTTCCTCACATGTTAAAGGTTTTAGAAACTGGATATAGTTCAATGGTTGCTACACAGTGTGTATTGGAGCTTGGTACTCACGTTGCTTGGGAGAAAAAACTAGTGGATCACAAAAACTTGAGGAAATTTTCAATTGACATGCTTCTATCTCTTCATGCATTGTGTGAAAAAGCTAGTACGTGGAGCAAAGTTTTGAATAGCATTGAGAATTATTTGAAGTTTCTTGTACCTCGGAAAATTACACAGAATCTGGATGCTGATACTTCATTGAGTATTAACGCTTCCATATTGGTCCAGGCTACTTCTCAAATTGCAAAAGCAATGTTTGAATCTGCATTTGACATTCTTCTTTTCCTAAGCTATCTAGTAAACAACAGTGCGCAGGTTAGTTTTTATTTTATTTTTTATTTGGGAGTTAAGAGTAAATGTCTTTTGGTACATGAACTAGACTTTAGGTGTTAGATCATCCAGATAGAGGGATAGTATGATTCAAAGCCAATACCTTGTCATGGAGAATGGGCGCCCTACCATATCCCCCTACCAAATCACTGATGGTGACTTTTAAATGTATGATCATGATGAAATAGCCAATTTTGAAATTGCAGATATAGATTTGAGGAGCTAATCAAATCTTCTTTAACCTTGTTCCTCTTCAGTTGATTTGAAATCAAATCATCATCCAAATTACATGTAAGCTAAAATTTCTGTTGATTTCTCCCCATTCTATGTACCAGACAAAACACCAATTAGGTTATGGGGTTTTATTTGTTCTAGCTTCGGGGCTTGATTGTTGCATAAGAGGATATAATGTTCATTTTGTTGTTGTTATTTGCATTTCGGTAGATCTCAGTCATGAAGACTATTTGTTCTCCTTTTTATTTTATTTATCTCAACTGTTCTATTAACTTATGCTTTTTTCTTGTAAGACGAATGTTTTAGAACTTCATAGGACTTTTGCTTGCAGATTCATATGTTGCCTGATGATGTATCTAAAATACAACTGGAGTTGGTTCCAATAATTCAAGAAATCATTTCAGAGTGGCTTATAGTTCATTTTTTCACCACCACACCATCTCAATCAGCAGCCGTTGAAGATTTCAGTTCCCAACTTTCGTCGTTGCAAATAGGTATGTTGCCGTTTCTTACTGAACTACTAGCTAGTCATTTTTGTTGTTTGTAGTTGCCACATCAAGTTAATTTTGAAGCGTGGTGGTTTTGTTTTTTTAATGCATGTGTCCTGGAAGATGCATGTTGTTTGGAGTTGCAGACTTTGCACTTCGCAAGCCATGTTGCTGATATGCTATCAATTTCCATTGTGTAGATAGCAGCACAAGTAGAAGATCATGGAACGAAAAGCTTGGCAAATGTGATTTTCCTTTGGCTTTCGTATTCTTGTTAAATTATCAAAGTTTTCCCAGAGATCATCACCTTCATTCAAGATATCTTTCAAATGCGCACGACATTATTATTTCTGTGCGGAACTTTAGTTGCTGGATCATTTGGGGAAAGACTGGAGAGTCCTCTACTTTCTTAAGCCATTCAACTGAGCTTGCATTGATCCTGCTAAGGCATGGGCAGTACAACGCTGTTGAGGTTTTCCCTCCTTGATTGGAAGTTTCTCTCTTTTAAAATATTTGTTAAATTTTCCCTTTTCTTTTGTTCATTTTTTGTATGTAATTTCTGTGTAGCATCTACTCGGTGTGGTGGACACACATTCACAGAAAGAGAGAATCTTGGAAACTATTGAAGATACTAATGGTAGATGGTGCATACTTCAACATCTTCTTGGATGTTGTCTTCTTGCTCAGGCACATCGTGGATTGAATGGGAAGCTTAAAGATAGGAAACTAAGCGAAGCTGTTCGATGTTTCTTCAGGTACTTCATATTTTTGTAAACTTTTTAGTTGGGTTTTCCAGTGTCATGCTCGGTCCTTGATAACCTCTCTTAGGACACTACCAGGTTACTGACAGGTGAAGTTGCTTTTGTTTTGCTGTGATACTAACTTCTTAAACTTCAACTCTACATATATGTTCTCTCTCACATACATCTAATTTGTAATTATTTTGAGAGAACATTCGGTAGCTGTAATGGCCTTTTTGATCTTTTTCTCTTTTTGGGGGATCAAATTTGTTCACAAAATAATGAAGAAGGTTTTTTTTTTTTAAATAATAAACAAAAACCTTTATTGAATAAAAAAGATTCAAATAATGAAGAAGGTAACTCGTTTCGTTCTTATTATTTGATTAGAAACATAGACTTGTATCATTTGAAAATTGAATAAAATGCAGAACTGAAAAGATGAGGTCCTTAGGATTTTGCTTTGGTTTTGCTGTTATTGAGTTTTGTAGTTTCTTTTTTCTCTTCTTGTCTTCTTCGATGGATTCCTCATCCATTTGAAACTTCTTTTGTAATCATTTTCTCTATCAATGAAGTTTCTTGTTTCTTATCCAAAAAAAAAAAAAAAAAAAAAAGAAAAGGATGAGCACTCCTTCAAGAAGAACAACAGAATTGCTCCCATCATTTTTCGTTTTCATTGATTTATGAAAACTGTATTTGTAACAATTGTCCTAAATCTTACAGTAAAAATGATTAGTACTTTGATTAAGTGTGCTTTAGACTTTGTTATAACAAAGAGAACTATGTTATGTTAATATGCAATCCAATGAATTCAAATAATTGAGTTCTTTCAGTTAAGATATAAGGTATATTCTGGTTTTACGAACGGCCTGAGAACCATTAGAGTTGTTAAACGTTGCTGGTTCTCGTGTAAGCAATATTGCGTAGGTTTTGACTCAAAAAGATGGAAATCATGGAGTTTTCCTTAGCTACTTGCAGACACTATCGTTTTAAATCATTGACAATTTCCCTTTGACATGGTAGGCCTGAAAGAGATCATACTTATGATTATTGTGTTGGTAATGACTGAAATGTTCCTCTTCGTCTGCCTTCCATGGGTTTTTGAACTTTTGATTTATTAATATATTCAGAGCTTCATCCGTAAAAGATGCTGCCCAGGCTTTGCAGAGTTTGCCTCCTGAAGCAGGCTTGTCACCGCTTGGTTTCAGTGAGTTGATTTAAAAACAATTCCAGTTTGATATGGAACAGATCTTTTCACCATCGTACTAAATCCTTTCCCTTCTCTCTCTCTGAGCTTTATTTATTTATTTTTATTTTTTGCCATTCCAGGAAGTACCATATCAGATGCTGCATGGAAGCTACATTATTATCAGTGGGCAATGCAAATGTTTGAACAACATAATATTAGTGAAGGTGCATGTCAATTTGCTCTTGCTGCACTCGAGCAAGTAGAGGAAGCTATAGTTACAAAAAGTGAGCACTCTGGTCGAGATCCATTTGATGAATCAACCACCATCATCAAAGGACGGCTTTGGGCAAATGTCTTCAAATTTACACTAGATCTTAATCACTTTTACGAGGCATACTGTGCAATAATATCAAATCCAGATGAGGAGAGCAAATGCATCTGCTTGAGGCGTTTCATAATCGTCCTTTACGAGCACAGTGCCATTAAGGTTTCTATCCAACTGTTGCCACCCCCTTTCTTTGTTTTGTTGAATTCTAGTATGTCTTATACTTTCATATTTAGTCGAATTAACTTTTGTCATTTACTGGTACTCTACTGCTTAATCTTCAGTCTTCTGTAGGTTGCAGAAGATCTTTATATGATTTTTTTTAAATAACATTTAAGAAAAGTGAAATGAGTATTCTAAGTCAACATGGTAGTTGCTGCTTTGCTAGATGCTAACTTGCTAACGGAGGGAATGTCTTGACGAATCATTGCTAGCACTGGCAGTGAACCTTTTAAAAAAAAAAAAAAAAAGAAACTGAATATTTATTGATAATATTTATAAAGAAAACTGAAAACTGGGATCAGGGAGGAAGAGATATCCTCGACAAGGCCAGTTTCAGAAAAACAACTGGAAATATAGGACTAAACTACAAAAAAGGGGCCCAACTCCTAACGATATCCGAGAACAATGGCCTCCCGAATTCTTTATCCCGGTATACCCACTACGAAACCCAATACTTTATTTTATCTCATAGAGCGGACTCTTCTTCACCTCTGTCCTTGAAAATCCTATTATTCCTTTCCAACGAAATACCCCAAAAAATAGCTAGAATTGCAGCCCTCCATAATATCAAACCTCTTTGACTCAAGCTTGACGGAGGAGAAAACAAACAGATCACTACACAGCTTCAAGGCGTGACCCAGTAAAACCCAAACTCTCTCAACAAAGAAGCCCAAATTTTCCGAGAAAAATGGCAATGAAGGAAAATACGGTCTGGTGTCTCCCCATCTTCCCTGCACAAGTAACACCAGCCCGGGGATAATGAAATAAAAGGACTCCGTCACTGCAGCAGATAATGTGTGTTTAGTTTTTCAAGAGCAACAAGCCAGCAGAAAACTTGAACCTTCTTAGGGGCATGAGTCTTCTGAATATTATCATGAAAAATGAACCGCGGAGATGAAGTGTCACCTGTCAACAAGGACAATAAAGATTTAGCTGGGAACAAACCATTGTGACCAGGCACCCAATCCCTTCTATCTTGAATTGAACCATGAAGCCTAACCCTCTCCACAATAGCATTTAAATCCGTAAACGGTAAACTCCCTCACTTCTCTATCCGTTAGATTCCTTTAAAATCCATAATCCCACAGGTAACTTGTTTCTCTAATTTTAAGATACAAGGTTTTCTTTGCTGAATGCATTTCTACATTCTACTAACATAGAGTTGTAGGCTTCTGTTATGCTGTAAAATATTTCTAGCTTATGGTGAGGACATGTAACTTTCTTCTAGGACTAATTCTTTATTCCACGTTTGTTGTTATTAGCCTTTTTTCAAGGCTAATGCTTTATTGAACATTGGTTAAGCTTATTCATTTTCGTGATTTCAGATTCTCTGTGGTAATCAACTTCCTTTCATTGGTTTAATTGACAAGGTAGAGCAAGAGCTTGCCTGGAAGGTATATCTTATCAGAGTACTTTGGCTACCGTAGTTTAAAATGTAATTCATGCACCCTAATGGCCAGCTCATTTGTGTGTAGGCAGAACGTTCAGATATTTTAGCGAAGCCGAACTTGTATAAGCTACTATATTCATTTGAAATGCATCGACACAACTGGCGGAAAGCGGCAAGTTACATATACCAGTATTCAACTCGTTTAAAAACTGAAGCAGCTCAGAGAGACATCCAGCATAGTTCATTGGAATTGCAAGAAAGATTAAATGGGCTCTCTGCTGCTATTAACGCACTTCATCTTGTTCATCCCGCTTATGCTTGGATTGATCCTCTGTTTGAGAGACCTGGCCATGAAGAGCATTATCCAAGTAAAAAGGCTAGAAGAACAGTGGAAGAAGAGCGTAAATACTGCAGCACTCTCTATTTTGTTTGTTTTGTTTGTTTGTTTTTTCTTTTTATGTATTCAAGGAATTTGAAATATACATACATATATATATATATTATTTTTCTTTGACTAAGTAATATTTTTAAATTTTCAGCAGCAGAAGTTAATGGCTTTCAGCCTCAGAAGCAGCAATGTATTGATATTGAGACGATTGAAAATGAGTTTGTGTTAACTTCAGCGGAATGTTTGCTTTCATTGGCACAAGTAAAATGGAGATTCACCGGTAAAAAACTGTTACTTTGACTTTCTGTTTTTCAGTCTATGAAAAAATTAAAATCCTGTTTGTACCATCACTTGATATGTATCTTTGTTATTGACTTGTTCCAAGTTGTCTTTCAGAAAATCGGGAGGACTTGCCAAATTTGGTTGATCTCCTAGTCGAGGCAAATCTGTATGATATGGCATTCACAGTTCTTCTAAGATTCTTCAAGGGTTCAGACTTGAAGAGGTGTAATTCTATTTTACTGTAAATTTCCATTACAGTAATCGTGTTCATGTTCACATACCTGAAATGTAACATTGGGTCTTTTCCACTCAGGGAACTGGAACGAGTTTTTTGCGCCATGTCATTGAAATGTTGTCCAGATAAAATTGATCCATGGACAGGGGCAGGGTAAAATGAGTCTCATCCTTGTCATAGAATTGGCTTTACATGCTTTTGAATTTCATGCCATACGTATCTGGCTCCATTTCATTTTCCTCATTGAGGTCATAGGGTCACAAATGCTATATAACTTGTATTGTATCAGGGATGATCGGCAAAAGCATGTTCTTCTGTTGACTTCATCAAAGAATGAAATAGTTGTACGCGGTTCACCTGATATGAGTTCGACTACTCAACAATTCAAGGGGAATAGTCAATGGGTTACGCTTGAGTTGTATCTTGTTCGTATCTCCACCTGCTCTACAATAGTTTTTCCCGAATTTTCTAAATCAAGGAAAAGCTTCCTTCTAGTTTGTTCTATTTCATAACGTTAAGAATTCGAACCAAGAAGATAAAAATTTTGTCCAACCACTCCCCTACCCCCTTCCTAAAATAAATAAATAGTCAATTTTTTTCTCTCTTAACTTCTGTAAGCTATCTTCTTAATTGCATTTTTCCTTTTGATGTTCTCCCAATTTTCAGGAAAAATACAAGGGTTTGCATGGCAGATTACCACTAATTGTTGCTGAAACTCTTCTTCGTACAGATCCTCAAATTGATTTGCCTCTTTGGCTAGTTAATATGTTCAAGGTAATGCTCTGGTCAAAAGGTTGTTTATGGATTGGTTTCTCAAACTACTGTAGTTTGAGCTTCACATTTGCAAACTGACAATTTTGTTGTTGATATTTTTGAGAACTACATTCGTCTTGTGTGCATCGCTTTTAGTTGGCATACCTCGTTCTGGAAATATGCTTGTTGTTGTTATAAGAAGCAGAATATAGTTGGCATGCCTCGTTCTGGAAATATGCTAGAGCTCTGTAATTCTTTTTAACATTATTTTTGTTAACCAATTCTCCCAAAAGTTTAAGCTATCTCGAGGTAGGCCAAACTAGGTTTTGTACTTTAACAACCAAGACTTTTCTATGCCCTTTGGTCTTTCCTGAGTATGGTTGATGACTTTATCTTAAAAAGTCTTTTTAAATTTTGATCATTGTGTAGTGGGTTGATTTCCCTTGCGACCAAGGCCTAGGCCTGAAATTAGATCTAGATTAGCACTAACATCTCAAGCGACCAAGGCAGTTATCCTAGTCCTCACCATCCGACTTTCTGCCTAAATTTATTATTGTGATTCTTCCCCGTGTGCTCTCGGAAGAGGCATGACAAATTTTTGGTGGAGATACACTTTCATTGTGAACTAACTCAAGTCTTTCCTATCTTTTCCTTTTTTTTTTTTTTTTTTTTCTTTTTTCCTTCTTCAAATTTAGTCCATCCTTTCTCATTGCTGCTGTCTTCTGTAATTAAAAATGAGAATTACGGCTTCTTACTTTTCAATTGCTTGAATTATGGCAGGATGGTCGAAGTGAGACGACTTGGAGGATGACCGGGCAAGAGTCAAATCCCGCATTATTGTTTCGGTTATATGTTGATTCTGGTCGTTATACTGAAGCTACAAATCTTTTGCTTGAGTATTTAGAATCATATGCATCAATGGTAATTTCTTTTCCTTACAAAGTATCTTATTAAGATAACGCCAGGAATCGATGGTAAATGCTGTGATTGATTGCAGCTTATTCTTGCAATTAACTTTGTTTCAATAATATTATTTGTTCATGCTGTTGGGTCTGTTGAGTCTGTTTTTCCTCAGATAACTCTGTAGCTCTCCCTCTCTTGAGCATGTGCATATCAGGGAATTAATCTATGTATTTTGTGTCTCCAATATTGCAAAGTTACGTGTTATAAAAGGAAAATAATTGCAAACTTGTTTATATTTGCTCTTTTTATGCATTATGTATGATGCATGATTGTGAATGGACCCCGTAGGGACCACGATTTCCTGCTTCTATGCTGTTTCATATTGGTCGATCTTATTAAATGCAGCCCTGTTTTCGTTTAAGGGTGAACTCCATAAATACAATGCCACATGAAGCACAAGTTCCTGCTATTATTTTCATGTGCATTATCTTATGATATGGTTCTTACTAATCTGTCTCAAGTTTTTCACGGTTCCGGTGGTTGTTTTAAGACATGCTGTACATTTTACAGAGACCAGCAGACGTAATCAACCGGAAAAGGCCATTTGCAGTTTGGTTTCCGTACACGGCAATCCAGCGGCTATGGGGCCAACTTGAGGAACTCATCAAAATGGGTCACATGGTAGATCAATGCGATAAACTTAAAAGACTATTACATGGAGCCTTGCTGAGACATCTTACGCTGGTAAGCTTTTTTATCCTTCCGCAGCTCTTTATGGAATGACTTTTGACCCTAATGCTTTATATGAAAGTGCATATGAGAATTTTATCTATTACTTTCAGTCAAAGGTGGACTCCGATGATGCATCTGCTGCTGTTTAAAGATAAAAGCAAAATTTGTATCAGCCAAGAAACCCTAATTATCTCTTAAGCATTCGAATATGCCTCAATCCCCATGTTGATTTTTGCATCATTGTATGTATCGGGCCTCGTTACAAATGTAATATTAAGCTTCGTATATTTGCATTCCAATACAATTTAATTGCAGTTACCTTTTGTAGTTTAGAAAGCTCAAGAATTCTACTTGTGAATAATCAAAATATTGGAGACTGGTGGATTCAAGTACTAAAATGATTTTCCCTTTTTTTTTTTTTCAAAATATAGATCACATAGTATCGATTCGATATAGATCTTTTTTTTTTTTTTTTTTTTGCTTGAATTCGATATAGATCTTATTTGATCAGACTGAGTTAGCTACATTTAACAGTTATTTTGGCACATATGTTATTACTAATATACATGTCTTATGTCTTTTAAATGTGCAAGACCGTCTCTAATGTAATATTAATTTGTAGTTTAGAAAGCTCAAGAATTCTACTTGTGAATAATCAAAATATTGGAGACTGGTGGATTCAAGTACTAAAATGATTTTCCCTTTTTTTTTTTTTCAAAATATAGATCACATAGTATCGATTTGATATAGATTTTTTTTTTTTTTTTTTTTTTTGCTTAAATTCGATATAGATCTTATTTGATCAGACTGAGTTAGCTACATTTAACAATTATTTTGGCACATATGTTATTACTAATATACATGTCTTATGTCTTTTAAATGTGCAAGACCGTCTCTAATATAAATATTAATGCTTTACATTGTTTAGTTTTTTCCCCCTCTTGGGAACTTTGGTTGCATGTTTTTTGGGACGTTTTCTCGGATAAGAAGCAACTGCTATAAAGATCACAGGCAAATTTTTTACTTTCTTTGCAATATTTCTTTTCAAAATGTTTCGTTTTTATTCGTTTCACTAGAAGAATAATAATGATGATGATAATTACGGTCTTGTTCAGTTCGTGTATTTGAATTTTTAATTCGAATTGAGATGTGATTTTATTATGTAAGCTTTTTACTGTAGTAAAAAAGTTAAATGTGATTTTATGAGAGCTTTTAATTATAGTAAAATTAGAGTTGAAAAATCAAATTGGTAAAATGAATGAGACTTACAGTTTTCAACTTTTTTTATTATTTCCATTTTAGTGTAAATTTCTTACCTAAGACAAGAAGTGGTTGGGCAAAAAAGAAGTCAGATCGAAGCACTCCTCCCATTGGAGAAAGGACAAAGAGAGTGGCTTCAAGTTTACTCTCTGTGTTGGTAAACGTAAAATTCATCTCGTAAATGCTTTATTTATCAACAAATAGATTGTGTTCGATTTGGTAAATGAAGAATTCATCCGGTAAATGATAACTTTACGAGTCAAACAGAGATTTCTATGTAATAGAGGTTTTGATGTTGTAAATTTTCCTCTTGACTATTTACATGGTAAATTTATTATTTACAAAAATATAGAAATTGAGTTTCTTTAGTAAATGAAGCATTTATCGGGTAAACACAACATTCATCACATAAAAAATAAGAGTAAAATTGAAATACCACATATTGAAATTTTAAAATATGCTATTTATTTTTACTTGGTGAATATGCTTTTTTTAAAAAAAAAAAATAGTTTAATAAAATGTGTTTACATTTTCCCTTTTTTTTTTTTTTTTTTTTAGAAAAACACACTTCAATTGTTTTGTTATAAAAATTTGAACATATATTCAAATGAGCATTCATTTTTCTTGAAATAAAAATCAATTTAAAATCCCACCGTTTGGTTTAATCAGTAGGCCAAAAGTGTGCAGTGTCTTCTAATGTATATTGTATATCTTCCAAAAATAAAAATAAAAATAAGTTTTTAATGTTTTTGACAGGTAACATTATTTAACTTAATTAAGAGCTTTTTAATGCAATGTTATAATTAATGTGTCAATTGTAAATTTAATATTTAAATATAAAATTCACTCTCTAATAGATTGCTAATTGTTGTGTCAAATTTTTCATATATTAGAAATGACCTAAAAGAAAAAGAAAAAAAATAGAGAAATATCAGAAAAAATGAACTGCTTGATAATATTTTGAGGAGATTCTCTAGTACGTTTTGGTGTACCGATAAAATAAATTTTTTAACCGTTAGATCTGTATATCTTTTAATTTTTACATGATTTTATACAAATTTGATAAATAAAAAACTAAACTAATTGATATATTAGCTTACCAAAAAAAAATTCCATTTTATTTTTAATTGTTAAATGGACATTTGTTTTTGTTTAATAATCCTTTGTTCTGAATTCTTTTTTCAATTGATTTGGAAAAGGAAAAACACTCGAGCCCATTTTCTCAACTGAGGAAAAAAAAAAGGAGTGATCTTAATACTTTTTAATTAAATAATTACACCAAAGGGTAAAAAGTGGAGAATCAGAATAAATTTCTCTTTTTTTCAAAAAAAAAAGTGCATTTTGAGAAAAACCCTAGAGCTCTGCTCTGCTCAGAAGAGCTCATCAGTGACCCCATCCCCCTCGCCAGCCGCAGTGTGCGAGCGCCGTCGCATCAGCCATTCTTCCGGATCCTTCGAGCATTTTTGCGAGCGGATTTTAAGACAAGCCCCTCCGAGGTTGATTTTCTGTTTGTAACTTTTGTAATTTTTGCTTTAACTTGGTTTTTTTTTTTTTTTTTTTTTTTTTTTGGGGATGGAAAACCAAGTCTTTGAGGAGATCATGTGAAGGTTTTTTCTGGTTTCGTGTTTGGGATTTCAATTTCAAGTCTAATTTATGAAATACAAATTATTTTGTGGAATTTTTTGATGATTGATTGGTTTTTTTCGGAATTCGTTTGATTGTTGAAAAATTGCTGTTGTGATTTTGGTTGATATTGGTGAAAATTGCTATTATTATTAATTTTTGTGTTGAGTTGTTTGTGGTTTTTTTTTTTGGTTCATTATTATAGTATTTTTGGAAGATTGATATTAGCTTGATTAGTTTTGAGATTAGTTGGATTTGTGAGATTGCTTTGAGATTTTTTAAATTAGTTTGATATTTGTTGGGAATTGGTATGATTATGCTGTTGTTCAATGTTTGACTTTTACGAGTTTTTTATATCAGATTTGCAAGCAATTTCGCCACAACATTCGACTATGTAATTTTTGGACTGTAATTCTTATATTTATATTATGACTTATTTTGTTTTATGTAATTTTTGATTTCATATCATGCTTGTTTGACTATATAACTGTTATATTCATGCTGTGACTTAAGTTTGCAATATATAATGCTTATTGATAGACTTTGGGTTAGATATGTTTCTATGTAGCATTCTACTTTAATGGATGGAGAACATCTCTATTGTTTTCAAATATTACAAGTGTAAATTATCCAATAATATTACTTTTGATAAGGGACATTTAAAGGAAAGAAATGAACAAGGAAAAAACATTTTTCTTTCCACTAGAGTGAAAATTATGGTTGCGAGTGTGTAATATTCAAGTAGTCTCAATTTTTTGTGCTATAAAAAGGTCATTGCTCAGTACTATATATAGCTGGAAAGGTTTTCTGATTCAGGGAGGGGCATTTTAAAAACATTCAACGGTCAAATCAGGGTTTTCTGTTACAGTCCGCTTTTTTTTTTTTTTTTTTTTTTTTGAAATGTGGTGCTGACGCAATTTATTTTGGTTAAGGGAGTCTCTTATTTTGGCAAAAATGGGGGTGTATAAATGTAGAAAGCCCCTCATTCGGGGCTCATGGCGTTCCTTGATTAGACAAAACGTCTCGGTTCCCAGTTTTGCCTTTTAAAACTATGATCATGGCCCTTTCCTTGTTTCTTTTGTTTGGGTCCAGTCCATTGTGTGGGTGTGTGTGTGTGTGTGTTTTTTTTTTTTTTTATAAGGCTATTGGGGGCTGCTGCTCTGAACCATCCAATTCATCTTCTTTCTTTTGCTGTGGGTCTTACATCAAGAGCAGCGCCTTTTGGGTCATCAGATGAGAGATCTTCTTCTAAGTCCTATTTGTTTATATCCTTCCAATGTATTGGTTTTATATTTGTTTGTTTTAACTGAAAGTAACCAGAAGTGTAGTACTCAGTTTTTTGAAAGAAGACTTTGGTTGAAATTTAGATATTGGTATGTCAAATTTTGGGTGTTGCATATCATGGAGATAGGATATATCAATTGAGATGGATGGATCCTTGTTAATAATAGGATTTAGGCATGTCCATTGTTCTCCCTTTATCATTTTGATTTTAATTTTGTTGTTGAGTTTATTAGAAACCTTTTTTTTTTTTTTTGGGTTTTAAGAATCAGAACTAGCCTTCAATAAATACTGTTCTTCCTCTTTTCTTTTTTCACTTAATTGGCAAAAAGTGATCAACCTGATGTTGTACGAGATTGTAGTTTTGCAATCTTATTGTATTCTTACAAGTCCTCTATCGGATGCAGTCTTTGAAAATGTTTATATTCATATCTGGTTGTTATTATAATTCTTTCAGAGAGATTGAGTTTAACAACGCCTTGTTTCGAGAAGTGCAGTTCAGAATTATATAATGGGTCGGAAAGTTGGTCAACTTCGGATTAATCCCAAGAAATTTGGCTCTTTGAATAAACCATGCATGAAGGAAATGGCATCATTTCTCAACTGCTTGTCTCTTAACAATAACAATGACGATAAGTGTGCCCGATTTAAGGAACAACTGGATGCTTGCATGGCTTCCCAGGTAGGCTCTTATTTTCGACTTCTTTTACGTGTTCGCGCACACAAAATTTCGTTCTAGGCCCATTCCTAAATCTAGTAATTGCCTTCATTGCAGACAAATGCTAGGAAGAAACTGGGAAACATTAATTACCATCTTGCCAGGCTTAGTAGGGGTCGGAAGTAAACGAGAAAAGCTTTAAATCGCGTAACTCTTGCCAGTCAGCATTTGCAGAGATTTAGAAGGAGAAATCATATTATTGTTACATACTGGAGATTTTGTGTAGCTTTGCATTTTGAAGATGTGAAATGCTCTGGGGAATTTTTTTTTTTTTTAAAGAATAATAAAAAATCATTGCAGTTCTGGTTAATCTATGGTAAAGAAATTGATGAAATGGATACTTCATTTTGATTTTATTCTCCAAGGCTCTTCTTTCAGCATAAAGTTATCATCTACCAATGAAATAATGGCAACTCATTTCATGCTATGGGTAGTATTAAAATAATAATGATAATAATAAGTGTAGTATTAAAATAATAATGACGATGACGATGATAATAATAATAATAAGTATAATAATTTGAGCAAAAAAAATAAAAAGGGAGCAGCACTTCATTCTAGCCACTTTTTCTTTCCTAAACTATTTCGATCTTATTCCTGTACATGTTAGCATATGCGTACTCGAAGCATTTATAAAGAAGTGATTCAATGTGAAATTTTAGCATTTGATTAGGAAAATTACTCTAATACGTGGTGTTTAGTACTAAATTTGATCATTTGCTAACTGAGTCAAATTTGGTATCAAATATTAGCATATGTTAATTTCCGGATTAATTTCTATTGATGGATGTATTGACCTGCTTCGTTTGATTATTACCATATTACCATTTTCAGGTTATTTTAAAATAAAAAGTTTATTTCTACAACTTTTGAAGTTTAATAATTATGAAAAGAGCGGATATAGCATTTGAAATAGCACAACATTGGCATTTGATAGTTCTTGAAATAGCACAACATTGGCATTTGATAGTTATGGGATATGAGAACGTTGCTTTACATGTCTTTATTTCCAAAAAGGTGAAAGTTGTCCGAAACAATATCAAGACATCGTTCATTTTACCGATTCGAGTTTTCAATTCTAAGTTTTTACAGTAAAAAACTCTCAGAAAATGTCACATCTAACTTTTTTTACTATAGTGAAAAGCTCTCAGAAAATATCATATTTCAGCTCGAATTATATACTCGAATCCGCGAAATAAACGAGACCCAAATGTTTATATGTGTAGAAGATAAGAAGGGGAAAAGGATAGAAACGACAGGGTGTTTGTAGTTGAGGAGGCAAAGCTTTGTTAAAGTAGTTGGAGGATTAGACATTGGAGGGGTAAGGGGGTTGCAGATATTTCATTGTTGTTTACTAGTCGCTTTCATCTTTTTGCTTCGTTGCCCTCAAAACTTCTCTTCATTTTCATAACGCTAGGGTGCCGCATGCAAGAAACTAGACACGCAGTATGAAAGTGTCTTTGCCCTCCCAAGACCCAAATATAAATCTTACAAATTGATGTTGAAATGTAACTATAAATTTAAAAATAAAAAACTAAAATCATTATAATGGCCGTGTTTGTAATTGATCTCATTTTTATTTTTCACGTTTTTCGATAAATAAAAAATGAAAACGTTTTCAAAACGGCGTTTGGCGTAATAAAGATAAAAAACAGAAATAAAAATAATTTTTTTATTTAGTATAAAATGAGAGAAATAAAAAACGATTTTAAGTCATTTTTCATTTTTTGTTTTCTTTTTCTCCTCTCTCAAGCAGAGAGAGAGAGAGAGAAAGACATTAATGAGTTTTTTTGTACTGAAAATAATCTCTTGATGAAACTATCAAACGTATTTTTAAAAATGATTTATGTCTAAGATTAAAAACGTTTTCGTTTTCATTTTCATACAAAAAATAAAATTATTTTGGAACGAGTTCCAAACGCGCTTAATATTTATTATGATAATGGCTTCGTTTGGTATAGCTTCTGGACCCTTAAAAGCACTTTTTTGTCCAGCTTAAGTCATTTTTGGTGTTTGGTAAGAAGTAAAATAAGTGATTCTTCAATAATTTTAAGCTGTTTTCACAACAAAGCCAGAAGCAGCATTGAGGGTGCTTTGCATTCTAACTTATGCGGGAATCCCCTCCTTTCACATTAATGAAAATTTTTTATTCCCATTTTACCCACGTTCAAATGAAATAATCCCCATCTACCCATCTCATCTCCATCACTCCCCGTTCTCTCTCTCGTGACTGAAAACCTCTTGCAAGCTCCATCACTCCCCGTTCCCTCTCTCTCCTTTCTCGCTCCTCTCTCTCTCCTTTCTCGCTCCTCTCTCTCGCCAGTCTACGCTCCGTTCTCCGTTCACCGTTCGCTGGTCCCGTTGTCTGCGCTCCATTCCGATCTCCTCCGCACGAGTGGTTGTTCGCCGGTCTCCCTATTCTTCCGGTCTCCTCTTCCGAGTTTCGCCGGTCAACCTCAGCCCTCTTAAGCACGTTTTTGTTGTAAGTACTCCATTAATCTTAGTATTTTGAAATTTGCTTTTGATTTGTCTCCAAGTTACCTTTTTTTCCCCCACCGCCTATTGCATTTTCCTGGGAAAATCCGCGAATAATCCGATTGAAGAAAAAAATTTGTTTGCTTAACTTTGACCAAAATCAGAATGATCTCAGGTGAACGATCTCTCGGAGGCGTCGAAGTCTATTGCGACCTTACAGGCTTTACTCGATCGTGATATGGCATCGAATTGCGTAAGGAATGCTGGTAGTCATTCGAGAAATTTGTTGAGAGTGAAGCGTGGGCTTGACATGGTTTGGGTGCTCTTCAAGCAAATACTCATTGCAGAGTATGTATTATCCTTTATCCGTAATTTTTTTTTTCTCCTTTTGTTCTTTTTGCTTTACTTCGTTAATTTGTAGATTTAGCACATGCAGTACATTGTAGTCAATTTGAGTTTCTTGGAAAATTAATTTTCCACAATTTACACAGTCGATTCAAGTAATATGTGGTTTGGCACAATTGGGTATTGGCTTCCAAGGTTGTTTTCTTTGGTTGAGTTGAATTTGAAGACATTCATTGAACTCTTAACAGCTAGAATGATGATTAGAATGTGGAG